AATCAAGAGAACATAGTCTTGCTATAGCTGATCTTGCTTGCAGCAGAAAAGATTGGACTAGATAATCTTCAGTGGTCCCTTCCCACCCAAGCCATTCTGTGAATCTATGACTATTTTTGTCCAATAAATAAATCCACTGTGGAAAATTTCTGGAGACTGCACTTTTGTTCCATGAAATTTTGGTTCTGGTTTTGTCTGGCTGCATAATGCAGTGGTTGGTATCATTCATAGACTGTACACTTCTTCAGGCTGGAGGGAAATTTGGAAGTCAGGTTCAACACACTGCTCAAAGCAAGGCCAACATCAAAGCTAGATCAGGTCACTCAAGGCCCTCTCCAGGCCAGTTATGAGCACGCTCAGGGATGGAGCTTTCCCTGCCTCTCCAGGCTGCTGTCCTTGTGCTTGTTCAGCCCACTGATATAAACATTTTCTTAATACTTCCTTAGAATTTCTCATGTTGCAGTCTGTGTTCATTGCCCTTCATCCTTTCACTGTGTGTATCTGTCAGAAAAGTGTGAGTCCATCTTCTTTACAATCCCATTAGGCTGCTGAAGATATCAACTAGATCCGTAACTGTCAGCCAAGCCTTCCCTCCCCCAGGCTGAACAAACCCAGTGCTTGGCTTTTCCTTGTACGTCCTGTGCACCAGTACCCTAACCATTATGGTCACGCTCTTGTTGATCCACTCCAGTTTGCCTTATACAGGAGGGCAAATGGTACTCCATTGAAGGCTTAGCTGTGCTGAAGAGAGCAGAAGTACATTTCTGAGCCCACTGGCTGTGTCCGAGCTAATGCGACTCTGTCTGTGGCCGAGTTTCATTGCTCCAAGTTTGTGTTTCTTTGGCATGTACCATGTGGAGGTTCCTTCAGCTCTTCGGATGGTCAGGTCATGTTTGGAGCTGGGTGACACTGAGGACCAACACAACTGGCACTGAGGAGTTATGACAACTGTTGGCACCTGAGGACCTGACTCCCAGGCTGTTGCCTTTGACACTTGACTTCCCGATGCTGACACCATAATTATTACACACAGCTATGATTCTGGCATTGTTCTCCTCTGGGTTCTCATTCCCACCAGAGTTGTACTTTTCACTGACTGTTGTGGTGCAGTTGGCAGAGTGATGTGGCACAAGTCCTGCAGGAATGTTTCCTGCTTTATGGGACACAGAAGCATGATGAGAAAGGGAGCAGCAGTACAAGGCATGGCTTTGTTTTCAAATGTTACCAGCTAAGGACCCTCAGGCAGGCTGGCAGGTCTCCATAAGTGGGACTTTTTAGACATCCATGGTTGCCAGTTTCACCTTAGGAAGCAGAGCTGTGCTACTGTGGTGTTAACCTCATTCCTGTCTGTGTTTACCTCATTCTTTTCTGCCAGAGGAAGACAGCTCTTCACATGAATAACATCTATCTGCTTGGTGAGAAAAATGGACATGGGTTTTGAGGACATAAAACTGCATAGTTTCTTGTAGGGAGGAACCACAAGGACCATTTCACATTGTTCAGAAAGTTGGGTTACCTCCCATGATGGCCTTCTATTATCTTTCTAAGAGACACCCAGTGCTTCCTTCATCACCAAAGAGCTCTTCTGTTCACATGCTGGGTCCACATGCTGGGCTTTGGCTACCCCCAAGAGCCCTTGGCATTTGTCACATGTTGGCAATTGTTCCTGCTGCCTTCGAGGCAGAAATCCCAATTCTCACAAATATATGGTACAGTGATCAGAGATTAGCATCTGGAACTGACCAGGGCCAGACAATGCTTTGAGTTGCTTCTTTGCCTGTCTTTTCCTCCCCACCCCTTCCTCCGTTGTATTTTTCTCCATTTCTTTTTCAGCTCTACAATTCCCCACCAGGCAGAGCCCTGGCATATTTCCATCCCTGAGAGACTTGGACTGTAGGCAATGCAGGCTCAAGCTGTGTGGAATTTCTCTCTGTGGGGATGCTCCCTCTCCTCCACCCTGTTCCCTCAAGGATCACTCTGACAAGAAGGGCAGGGGTGGTGCAACACTTCTCAGGGACCCTGAAGGGACATGGCATTCTTTGAGCTGGCACTAAGGGCTTGAAGCACAGATGCAGATGTGGCCTTGCCAGTAAGAGGGGCATGGAAGGAGAGCTGACAGAGGAAAAGACCTGACCCTCTCCCATTAGCACCATCTTGAGCCATATGATGTTCCCTGATACACAGGGCAGTCACAAAGCTTACAGCTACTTCAGTGGAGGTAGGGTTTTGCTCCAAGCTTCTCCTATGGTGGCACGGCAGGACCAGTGTGTCATGGGGACAGCAGGGAAGTGGGGAAGGAAAGGGGAGGGCAACCCATCTTTCAGGACACTGCCAGGGCCTTGGAGAGAGGATCTGGATGGGACATGGCTTTCCTGACTCACATGGCTCTGCAATTCACAACCCACAGTTGCCACTGTAATTCTACCACCTCTTAGATGAACAAAGAACAAAACCAGTATCATCTCTTCAAGAAATTACCATGTATCACAACAATATGTTTACCCTACACATAAGGCAAAGGATGCAAATGTGTCAATCAGATCACCTCATACAGCAGAGAGGACTTATCCAGACCTCATAATGAAGCAGACAGACTGCATAACATTGCATTTCATGTATTTCCCTGCTGTGCCCTGCTGCTGACTCTGCCCTGGATGGTATAGCCTCAGAGAAAATTTGCACTGGAGGGGAAGAGTGCACAGTGCCCTCTACTCCTGACCCAGCACCCACCAGTTCCTCCCCAGCTGAGGCTGCAGAAAATAGAATGGTCTCTGCTCTTCACCCATAATGACACCCCTGCATAAGACTGTCCCATCCCAAGGGTATTTCCAGCAGAGCATGAAGGAACCACATCTCTGCAGATGAACAAATCAAAATCCAGCTGTGGTCTCTAAAGGTGAAATGCAGCTCTTCTGCAAAGCTGCTCTCTGGATAGTCACCCCAGCCTGTATTGCTGCAAGAGGGTATTCCATGGGACTTTTCACTTCCCTTTGCTGAACAGCATGAGTTTCCTGACAACTCATTTCTCCAGCCAGTAGAAGTCCCTATAGCACATAAATCACTCTCCAGCCCCAGTTTAGTATCAGCAGCAAGTTTGCTGATGGTGTACTCCATACTATTATCCAGGTCATTGGACTATACTGGACCCAGTACTGGCACCTGGGGGTGGCAGATATTGTTTGGACTTTGCACTATTTTTTATCACAACCCTTTGAGCCTCACAATGCATTTAATGTCACATCCGCCTTAAAGTCCAACTGTCCAAGCCATATCATGCTAATTTTGCTACAAGCAGACAATGGGACACCATGTCAAGCATCTTACACAAGCCAAAGTCAGTGATACCCACTTTTCTCTCCTGTACACAGAGGCAGTCGTCTCAACAAAGAACCCCATGGCAGGGCGGATTTGGACTAGATGATCTCTAAGGTCCATTCCAACCCCTACAATTCTATGATTCTATGATATGATCAGGGTGGTCAGGTATGATGTGCCCTTGGTAACTCCATGCTAGCTGCTAACCACCTTCAAAAGGTAACAACATATTCACATGCTTCCAGTCCCTTAGAAAAAGCTCCTCTCCCAAGGAAGACTTTTTGAAAGCTATTCATTTGTCACTTTGTCAGATTATTTGACACATATGACCAGAAAGGAGGAAATAGAAATTGAACCATGTATCATAGGTTTATTAGGGAAAAAAGTTATACTTCAAGACCATATATTTGGCACTGTACTGAAGCAAAAATATGTGAGAACAATCAAAATGTTAAAACCCAAATCACCATGAAAAAGAAAATGATCTTTTAATCACTTTAATCCCTTTTTTGTCCCCATACAATTTAAAATAACTACAGGAAGCAACTCAAAAGGTGTTAGACCTACACTAAATATAAGCTGGAACAAGAGTGAGATGGACCAGAGACCACATCTGTCTTCCAGGTAGACTGCTAGTCTCCCAGACTGTCAGAATGGATGAGTCTTACTAACATGAGCAAAGGTTGTTGAGATGTTACCATTAAATGGTAAGACCATGAAAGTTACGGAATAAACCATTAATACTAGGTTGCCCAGAAGGACTCCAAAAATCCTGTTACTGCAAACTTCCAAATGCCTTCTGAAAAAATAATCATCATACCTTTCATCCATGTCAGCTTTTGCTTTCTGGTCTGGGTGGAGGAGATTTTGGTAGTGTTTTAAAGGAATTGTATCCCAATATGTCCCCAGGACGGATCATAGTTAAATGAATTTCCTGCTAGTTAACTCCTGTATTGGTGGCTTGAGCTTCTTTTTTGGAGGGCAAATAAGTTAAAAGCAGTTTCTAATTTGCAAGTTACACATCCTATACCTCTGTACAGTGACGTGAAAGACACTGACAAGGAATAAATAACATACAAAATAAGATGAGAATGGATTGAAGAAAAGTTGCACTAAAATGTTTAAATAGTAAAAGGCAGAAAGTTTAACTGATGCTGATAAACTGCTGTGTATGCATTTTTGCTGGATTATACAGTGCCACTCTAACATGGATAGAAGGGTAGATTCCCATTGAAAATCCATTCCAAAGGCTGCCAAGGAAGTGGGACACAGGTCTTTGATCAGTAATTCAAATGTTACATCAACAGTACTCACAAGAAGAATACAACTCTTTCCTTGGTTAATATATTGTGCATAGCAATATCTCAAAGAATTAAGAGCACCTTTTACATAAAAATTCCAAACATATTTATCTAGTGAACAAGAATCAGCATCTCTAAGCAGTACTTCTGCAGATGTACAGTACTGTATTTATATAGATATAGATATACATATATTTCAAAGTGAATTTACACTGTGATCTGGTGATTAGTCCAGCAGTGGGTGAACCCACAGGGTAAGTCTTCAGGAGAATATATTGCCTTTGGTGGATGGCCAGTTACAAGGCACGATTGCATAGGGGAGCCCCATCGGGCAGCAAAGGACAGTTTAGCATCCCATTAAGCAAGCACAGCATGCTTAGGTCGTTCCTGCAAGATATAAGAAGCTTCCAAATTTTCATGGCCAATACAGTTCTAGTTTTCACAGGTTGCACACATTGCAACCATCTCTTTGTGCCTTAAAGACACAGAGGAGGAAGGTAGGACACCAACTTATATCTTATCCCTGCTTCCAAGCAGAAATCAAGCAGCACCATAGATTTAGGCTGGTAAAGAATGTCCATGTTTGGCTTCACGAGGGTTTCTTGAGCAGCTGGTTTTCCCCATTTATCTTTTTTTGTTTTTTCTTTTCCAAATCAGTTGTTCACAGTCCTCTGGTAGAAATAATTTGAAAAGCATGGTTGGCCTAAGACAGGAAAGCAGACTGCTACCATTTCCCTGGGATGGGCACGCCACACTCATACCAGCCCACATAGTAGTAGGGAGTTGTGTATCCAATGCGTCCAAATGATACTGGCTCCTGGCGGTACTGGCGGTAATACCCTGTTGGGAGAAAAACGCCCATTTGTACTCCAGAACAAAGACACGGTAATTTAACAAAAGTAGCAGATGCAGTGAGATTCAATCCCACAACCCAAATGAAAACTTAGAAGCTGTCTAGTAGGGAGTTGTGTCAAAAGGGTATTGACTAGCCCAGGTATCTGGCCAAGATCTTTCTTGAATGATCTAACTCTGGTTCTCCATATTTCTTGTAATTTTGATTGGTTTTACTGTTCAAAATCTCTTTAACTATTGTGTAATGCTGTGGTCTGCCAAAAACCTTCTGCATTTCACTGCAAAAGGTGGGTATATTTCAGTTGTGTTTATGAAGTTTCTAAGTCAGTTTAAATATATAAAGGACTCTGGGGCAAAAATACCATCAAATCATATTATCTCATAGGACTCAAGAGACGATCAGCAAGCATCAGCTTTTCACAAAACAAAAAGGTATCATTTCATGCAGTAAATATTGAGTTAAGCCCTTCCTTCCCCTTTTTCTTCATCTGCAGAAAGAATGTGACTGCTTAAAGCATTAGAAGAGGTGCAGCATTCTTGTCCACGTAGCTCGTGCATTGGAACATCTGAAGCACTCATGGCTTGTGCCAATAATATAATTTTTGTGTGCTCTCTATCTCTGTCTCCTAGACCTAGTAACACACATCTGGATTAATCATCCCTCGTTTGAACTGAGAAATGCAGTACTTCCCAGTGATATATAAATATCAGGGACTATTTCAGTTTCTTCCTGGTAACGCCACCATGAAAAGAATATCAACAAATAATTTAACATGGAAACCATTACAGCTAACTGAGCAATTTAAACCCATAGACCTATTGAAAAGATTGCATTGCTTTCATGATTGTTTTCATTTTGTGAAGCAAACTGTCACCCTCTTGGCTCTGTAAGCTGAGCAGTTTACTCAGAGGAACTCCCTCAAGGTAAGAATTTTCACTCTGAGAGAGGTATCTACCAAGTCAGAAAAAAAGTACTGACCTTAAGTTATTAGACATGCTCCTTTGTGTTTTGTATTGAATGAACTGGTTAGAAACAATTCCCAAAAGCCATATTTGCAAAGATACAGCTAGTTCTTTGTGACACGTGGAAGAGTTTTTGCATCTCAATTCAGAGGCAGGTTTTATCATTAAGAGAAAGGTTTCATACACCTATGTAATTTTTTTCTTTCTATTTTTGCATTTTGTTTCTGTGATATATTTGCATCATATGCCCCTCTCTGTCTCTGTCTCTCCACACCCACAAGTCCTCTGGAGCAGTCATAACCTGTTCACCTAGGCCTAAGTACAACATCACCTCATGCAGTAGCATCAGCTGGACTCCTCAGAGATCTGACACCATGCTCTGCTCCTTACCCCTTAATCCTACAGATGGGAGGACAGGCACTTGGCCAACACTCCACTCCCCCATTGTCGTACCTTGGATGGTGGGCAGGGCTTCAATGTATGACTGAGGTCCCGTTCTTCCATCCAGGTGTGAATCCACAAACTGGCAGTGGTCCTCACCTCTACCCCAGCTATCCCCAATACTGTAGAAGGTGTCTGAAGGGTGATACAGATTGGTTACAATTCAGCAATACTTTTGTTTGGGATGCTCTTTACCATCAGGAAAATAGATGTGGAAGAAAGCAGGAGATATGTCACAGTGACAAACACAGTATTACCAATGAAAAACTGTGGCTGGAAAGACAGCGAATGTTACCTTTGCAGTATGGAAGGAGAAATTATGGAAAAGAGAAAGGGGTAGCAGCTCAGTAAGGAGTAGTCCCCATTTTGCAAGTCCATGGGCTCTGTACCACAGGTGAGAGGTGGACAGAATTTCAACTGGACCAGTCATTTCAGTATATCATGTCAAAGTAAAAAATGCTCTGTATGTCTATACCATTAGTTTGACTGCAGTCTCAAATGAAAACTAAACACTGTGGATCTCTTCCCACAGATGGGGTGGGTCCTGCCACCCTGTTTGTTTCTTACTGCATGTTCAAACACTGTCTTGAAACTATACCAAGGCACTACAATAAAAACACCCCATTAGCATAGTCTGAAAAGCCATTGAGATAATCCCATTACCCCAGATCAACAGTATGGAAGATTTTCTTCATTATCTCTCAGCAAATACACCTGTATAAGAGCTACTGTTAATTCTACTTGAATGCAGGACTCCCACATAGCCGTCACACAATTCTTTCACATATGACATGAAGAAAGAAAGAAGATGGAGGTGACAAGCAATCATAAATCAGGAAATTCATCTTGGTGCCTACCTTTCAGATCATCACTGAGGTAAATCTTGTACCTTAAGGAGTTGCAAAGCACCACTCCTACAAACTTGCGGTACCAAGTTCGTTTCACGTACTGCTTGCCAGTGCAGTCTGAGTAGGTCGGGTCATATTTAAAAGTGAATGGGATCCAGATAGGCTCACCACCTTGGAGAAAAAATAAATTCCACATTAAGGACAGACTTCAGCATTCAGTCTGAGTTTTGTTGAGGTTAATATCTAATAATATGTTTTACAAGACATGCTGCAGCAGATTAATACATAACATTTCCATATCCAGAAATACTACTTCAAGAACAAATATTAAAAAAAAAAAAAGAAAAGAAAAAGTGAGGGACTTGATTCAATCCCTTCTCGGCAGTAGACAATAACAACTGTTAAAATTATTTAAAAATATGATTTTATGTACTGACCCACAGCTTTAAGTATACAGTCTCACTTGTAAGACTTCTTCTCTACCTAGTGTTACATGGTTTCTTGTCTCAGCATAGCCTGATCTTAGGTCTGATGGTGACTTGCATTTTAAGACTAAGTAAAAAACTTCATCCTTTTACTGAAGAGCAGATGTTAGGAATTCTGTGGTGAGTAACAGACTGTGATGTGAATTCTGTTCTTGCTGTTTTCTTTTCCCACATTACATCAAAACCGATGACTTTCCAATAACAGATAAGCGCGACCTTTCCTGGGGATCTCTGTCCTGAGTGCTGCTGAAGAGGACACTGCTTAATTGTATTGCAAAAGACTAAATATTCTTACTGGTTTACCTAAATGTTTGCTTTATATTAGCTGAGACAATGTTTTTTGAAATTACTGTTGCAGCAATATATACAGAATGATACAAAAAGCATCCAATGTGATAATTGGTATTTTTGTCTCCAGCTACAGCTCAAAGTCTTGGTTTTACTGTGCTATTTCAAGGCAGTTTACAAATGAGATTGAAAGTTTTTTCTGTTAGTCATCCTTCCTCCCTCCCACTAGGCACATGGATCAAATCCTGCAAACACTTGCATGTGAGAAGCAATCACTGATGAGCAATCCTCAAAACCCCACCAGTATGGATACAAACATTAACCAGACTGTCTTTACTCAATTAGTTACACAGTGAAGGGATTGCAGGATTTTGGCCACAGCCTTATCTTTAGAATAAAACAATAAACTCTTTCTTGAATGCTGTCTTGTTGTTGTGAATAGTCTGCTTTTGTCCATCACTTTTGCCCACCTCCAAAAATCCTGAAGGATAAACTTAGCATGCCCTGTAAGAGATGCATTGGATGTTCAGAAGCTCGTTGTTTCCACAAGTTCCCAGAGCTCTGCCACCTCTTTTTGCTCTATCTTATCTCTACTACCGCAGTCACACAAAGTATTTTCTCTTTGTCCAGCTAAGAAGAAACTAAAAGTCATCACCTTCCAAAAGTCTCCTTTCCTTGAACACACCCACAAAATAATTTACAGCAAAAATCCTGAAGGTGACAATGGACAAAGGAAGGTCACTGCTCTCAGAGGCCTCCCACACTACCAGAAGCAGTGTGCTCTGCAATACCTGTGCATCATCAGATCCACCTGAGAGGACAGCAAAAACAGACTAACAAGTGTAATAAAACAGAGAAGGAAGGGAGTCGCTGCACACTTTTCATGTACAGTGAAGCCAAAAAGCCCCAGAACCAACAATTTTAACTGCTTAGGAAAGATGACAGAACATAATAACTGTGAGATCTGTTTTCGTGCATCTCTTCTGAGAGCACACACTGCCTGGGGTTACCTCACCAATGTTATGTCAGCAAGCTTAGTCCCAGCACCAGGTGATCAGATCTTGTGATTTGGGGCTGAACTAGCTTATTGCAAATTTGGAAAGACAAAGTAAGCTCAACAGCTTTGTGGCATGTCACTAGGGACAGTAACAAAACCTTGGATATTTTAGCATTTATAAGGGCATGATGATTTTTATCGGTGAGCATAAGAACTAGAGACAGGAAAACCTGATCCTACTGTTCAAGCTATGCTCGGACAACTGAAAGAGACAGAAGCAGAAGCCATATAGTTTAAAAATTAGTAATAAGCACTAAACTAAGCAATGTTTGCCTGTTGTACCAGGCAAAAAGATGAGCCAAAAGCAAGTGCTTATTCTAACATATCTTTGTAAGATTTCTGTTCAGCAAACAGAATAAGGGGTCCTAAGACAAGAAATGTTTTGTGAATTAGCCCCACTACCTGTTCCTGCTTAAAATTTTAACTAAAACTGGCATGTTTAAATGTTTCTAACTCCTACACTCTAACCATTTTGCACAGATTTTAGGCACTTCATGAAAGAAATGGTAGAGTAAGACTTACCAGGTGGTCTGACAATGAGGAGGGGATTGTCTAGAAGAATAAGGCAAATAAAAAAATCAGTATTTTGTTCCAAACCTTGTTTTATAACATGAAACATACAGAAGTCAGCTGCAGAGTTGCTGCCTTTAGCTACATCATGAGCATATGACCTACATTGTATTGTTGATTTACAGAGCTAACAAGTGTTTGTTATTCCACTCTTTTCTCAGTTGGTGAAATTTGCCACAGGATTGTGTATTTTTTCTGACATGTAAAACCTTAATTGAGATTAGTACCAAAGTTCAAAGCCAGCTTTTAAATAGATTTCCTCTTCTCAGAAAGTCCTCAGAGCAGGAATATGGTTTCACTGTACACTTCTGAATGAATGGTGTAAGTTACACCTGTGGGCCTGCCTTCCAACAGGAAATGTAGCCTGCCTCTTGCATGCAAATCTTGGTCTCAGACATCCATCATGTTTAGCACAGTTCTTTAGTGCTAGTCATAAATATGGGAAATGTATCATTTTAACTTTTTTTTGCCATAGTTGCTGAAATTTTGGAGGAGCCTCCTGGGCAGTGCAAAGAGCACTGACTTCTTGCTTGAAATACTATTTAAATAAATAAGGAAGGACTAAGGATAACAAAACAACATGATCTCAAGATCTAATGCATTAGCTTCTCTGTATTCATTACATTGCAGTTCCTATCCTGTCTTACTGCACACAAATACCCAAAGAGAAAGCACAGTGCTTGTCTACTGATGGGGAAGAAAACTTCCAGGGAGTTTTTACAGTTTGATAAAAGAGAACAATGAGTTTCTGTCCTTTTTAATGTGTTGTCTGGGGAATGATTGAATGTTTTCAATAACCTGCTTGATCCTATGATGGCATTCTTTATTGAATATTCCAATCAGCTCAAACCTTTCAGTTGCATTAGAAGAGCACTCTGAATTAGCACTTTCAATCTCT